CTTTTATATTTTTATATATATATATATATATATATATATTTAATAATATAAAAAATTTAAAATTTAAAATTATAATTATCATGTTTTTTATTATACATTATTATATATTTATATTTCAATTTTCAAATTTTTTCAATTTTTATTTTTATTTTATTTCAATTCATAAAAATTGTATAATGACAATAAATTATTACAAATATTTATAATGTACGAACTGTATTAAATAAAAAATAAATTATAATTGTATTATATAAATAAAAAATAAATGATAAAATATAGATATCCATTTAATAATATGTGTGTGTAAATTCATATATTAAAAAAATTTGTATTTCAACCAGGGTTTCTTGCACCAAATTTGTAATTTATCTTTAAAATTAATTAAGCTGTATGTGTTTATGTATATTTACAATATGGAAATAAGTCTTTGGTAATACCCAGGTATTTAAAAGTAAGATCAATCCATGATTCAATTATTGCATCATTTTCCAACCTTATGAATAAATAAATTAATAAGTAGGTAAATAAGTAGTGTGTCTAAAGAACACACTTCAGTGGAGTGTCACACTCCTCACCTCAGTGGAGTCTTGTCGTTCAGCTTTAGGCAGAGGTTGTAGGGCCATGGGGTTCATCTCACTCTCATCCCCGCTGCCCTCCTCCATATCACTGTCTCCCTCTGAGTCTCTGCCGCCCTCCACACCACTGGCCCCCTCTCCTCCGGGCCCCTCGGCATAGCCGCAAGGAAGCCCGGGCCCTGGGCTGCAGGGGCAAATCTCCCTCTCGTGACCGACTCGATCCTCGTCCCCGACAAAGCAGAGCTCCTCGCTGTGTGAGGGCGAGCTGATGCTGTCGATACCACTGTCTCTATTGGCCAGCTTCCCATCCATCTGTGACGGAGGGAGGGACAAGCGATCCGAGGGGATTTCTGATTGGTTGGCTGTAAGGTCCCTCATTTCCATAGTGTCCAGCAGTTTATCAGAGGCACCATAGCCCGATTCCATAGAGAGACGCTTTTCTGAACAGGAAGCCCCGAGTTCGCTGTCATCCTCCTCGGTTTCGTCCCCCTCTTCTTCCTCCTCCTTTTCTTCTTTCTCCACCTCCTCCTCGGCCAGCGGCGCCTCTAGTGGTTCCTGAAGGGACGTGCAGGGCAGGATGAACTCTGAGGGTGGAGGGCTAAATGACCCAGAAGCGGCCTGCTGTTCGGGGAACCGTGGGGTACACATCACTCCCCCGGTGATATCTGGCACCACGATGATCTGCTCCCTAAAAAAATAAGAGATTAAAAAAAAAAAACTTTATTCACGTTACATTTTGGCAAACATTTCTAAATATGTGTATATAAATATCTCAAATAAATCACATTGTGAGCACTATATTAAAATAATAAAATGTAATAAAAACGAAATAATACATTAAGTTAAATTAAAATAAAAAATAAAATAATATAAAATTGAAAAAAAATTTTTTTATCTTAATATCCTTAAGACAAACATTTACTTTAGAAGCAAATCTGCTAAAAAAAAGATATTAACACTTGTTTTCAGAGAACATACTGTATATTGGATTAATTCTTTCTTACCCCATTGGCAAATTCAATTTAAAACTAATGTCTTAATATCTTACACAATTCTTCTTCCCAAGCACATCTTGCTTATCATAACATTTTTAATTAAAGTAAATAAAAAGCTCAATTTAGTAAGATTTATGGTTAAAAATAAGAAACTCTAGCTATATTTTCTAAAAAAAATTATAATCTTAATATTATTATGCAATTCTGGTTCTCAAGTACATCTTGTTTTTAGGATATTTAAATATATTACTGGAAAACAAGTCAAAAATATTGATTAATAAATAATTTTTTTGCAGTGAGATTAAAAATATAACTTCTTGATTACCTGTGATCAACAAACGGAGATATCATTACTTAAAAGCACCAAATCAGATCGGTAGTTATGAATAATAAACTCTGGCGTAATCTAAAAAGCGCTCGACTGATTGTGATCTCTCACATCTCTCACCTCTCGATGAGCGAGAGGACACAAGTGGGGGAGGAGCTTCGCTCTGCTCTCGGTAAGGTGGGTAAGGTGGCGCCAGGTATTTAAAAGTAAGATCAATCCATGATTCAATTATTGCATCATTTTCCAACCTTATGAATAAATAAATTAATAAGTAGGTAAATAAGTAGTGTGTCTAAAGAACACACTTCAGTGGAGTGTCACACTCCTCACCTCAGTGGAGTCTTGTCGTTCAGCTTTAGGCAGAGGTTGTAGGGCCATGGGGTTCATCTCACTCTCATCCCCGCTGCCCTCCTCCATATCACTGTCTCCCTCTGAGTCTCTGCCGCCCTCCACACCACTGGCCCCCTCTCCTCCGGGCCCCTCGGCATAGCCGCAAGGAAGCCCGGGCCCTGGGCTGCAGGGGCAAATCTCCCTCTCGTGACCGACTCGATCCTCGTCCCCGACAAAGCAGAGCTCCTCGCTGTGTGAGGGCGAGCTGATGCTGTCGATACCACTGTCTCTATTGGCCAGCTTCCCATCCATCTGTGACGGAGGGAGGGACAAGCGATCCGAGGGGATTTCTGATTGGTTGGCTGTAAGGTCCCTCATTTCCATAGTGTCCAGCAGTTTATCAGAGGCACCATAGCCCGATTCCATAGAGAGACGCTTTTCTGAACAGGAAGCCCCGAGTTCGCTGTCATCCTCCTCGGTTTCGTCCCCCTCTTCTTCCTCCTCCTTTTCTTCTTTCTCCACCTCCTCCTCGGCCAGCGGCGCCTCTAGTGGTTCCTGAAGGGACGTGCAGGGCAGGATGAACTCTGAGGGTGGAGGGCTAAATGACCCAGAAGCGGCCTGCTGTTCGGGGAACCGTGGGGTACACATCACTCCCCCGGTGATATCTGGCACCACGATGATCTGCTCCCTAAAAAAATAAGAGATTAAAAAAAAAAAACTTTATTCACGTTACATTTTGGCAAACATTTCTAAATATGTGTATATAAATATCTCAAATAAATCACATTGTGAGCACTATATTAAAATAATAAAATGTAATAAAAACGAAATAATACATTAAGTTAAATTAAAATAAAAAATAAAATAATATAAAATTGAAAAAAAATTTTTTTATCTTAATATCCTTAAGACAAACATTTACTTTAGAAGCAAATCTGCTAAAAAAAAGATATTAACACTTGTTTTCAGAGAACATACTGTATATTGGATTAATTCTTTCTTACCCCATTGGCAAATTCAATTTAAAACTAATGTCTTAATATCTTACACAATTCTTCTTCCCAAGCACATCTTGCTTATCATAACATTTTTAATTAAAGTAAATAAAAAGCTCAATTTAGTAAGATTTATGGTTAAAAATAAGAAACTCTAGCTATATTTTCTAAAAAAAATTATAATCTTAATATTATTATGCAATTCTGGTTCTCAAGTACATCTTGTTTTTAGGATATTTAAATATATTACTGGAAAACAAGTCAAAAATATTGATTAATAAATAATTTTTTTGCAGTGAGATTAAAAATATAACTTCTTGATTACCTGTGATCAACAAACGGAGATATCATTACTTAAAAGCACCAAATCAGATCGGTAGTTATGAATAATAAACTCTGGCGTAATCTAAAAAGCGCTCGACTGATTGTGATCTCTCACCTCTCAAACTTCTCGATGAGCGAGAGGACACAAGTGGGGGAGGAGCTTCGCTCTGCTCTCGGTAAGGTGGCGCGTGATTGGCGGGGGTCGGCGGGGAGTGGGCGGGAGGGTGGAGGTGGG